GATTTAAAGATTCTTTTTTCTCTTTCTCTAATATTGAAATTCTCTTCACAACATAAAGCTATAATATGTTCTAATATATACCTAACATAAAGCTGATATATTCTATGTGAGCTAATATATTCTATTTTAAGCAGATGTATGCACTGCTAGAAGCTGATGTTTAATAAATAAGGGAAAAGGTTATATTTCAAAAATAAAAGCTAAAAAATGATGTTATCGAAAAGTTTCTATCATGAATCATAAGTTTAATATTTACTTAGTCTTTTTCGATTCTGCGGAACTTGGAGTCAAACCTTTTTCCAGTTAAAAAATTTGGATATTTAGTTTGACTTATAATTTTTGAAAATCTAAATATATGCCATTTTTAGTTTTTAAACTCATTATACGAATTATACCAAGCACAAAGGAGTAATACAATTGAAACAATATTAAGTTTAATGAGTTTTTGAAAATTTTGAAATAAAGATTTAATGAAAATTTTTTCATCGTGAAATATTATCTATTTAACTTGTGCGACTGTTGTACATTTTACTGCTGCCCAACTGATAAATCGGAACAAAATCAATATTAAAGCTGAACTTTAAATTTTTGTAAATTCGTGAAATCTTTTTTTTAATTCTTTGTATACAGGTTTTTCTTCCTTTTATAAATAAAGAGTTTAAAATATTCCGTTAGGATTGAAAATTTGTTATATATACTTATAATATAAACAACACAGTTTATGTATTATATATATATTTTATTTTCTTAATCTATCACGAGTTCATCAAGAATCCTTATTTATAAACTTTTTGTACGCAATAGTAACTTAAGCCAACTCAGAGTCCATTTTCGACAAATTGATTCTTTAAATACTTTCTGTATGACGAATTATTTTTATTTTAAATATTTCATGTGTCTCGATACTTTTTGCAAGGAAACTGGATGAATTATGAATATATATATATATATATATATATATATATATATATATATATATATATATATATATATCCGTTTTAATGATAATTTTTGATTGTCAGGGCCTGCAAATGTCTTCAGAATCGTAAAATTTAGTTGTAGAGTGTAATGGTATTTTAGTGACACGCCTTAAAATAGATCAAAGTAATATTACAAAATAGTTTTCAGACACAGAAAACTTCCCATCAGTCTGCTTTTTAGTAGGTTATTTACCTTTTATGTTGACGTGTTTATTTCGAATATTAAATGAAATTCCTTTACTATTTCTGCAATTGACTTTTCTTCACTCTACTAGATATTTCTGACAGATACTTCCTACAAACCCCCAATTTGGCACAGGGTACACATTCACGTTTCTTTCAAAAGGCACCAAAAATAACTTATATCCTGTCTCGTTTTTCTCCCTCACCTCCTTCCTCCATCTACTTTCGCAAAAGAGCAGAACTATTTGGCATTCGAAGATGGCAACACCATAGAGATTCTGCAAGATATGAAAGTTCCTTAACTGCCTTTCTTAGCCTCTAACAATGACATCTACCTCGTGCGCGCAACATTCTTTCTCTTGCGGCGCATTCCATCTAGACACAAAGCAACTCAACTCTTCCGTGGGTGCGTGGTAAGACTCGAGGTTCTGGTGGGTTTGGCGGATGGAAGTTCTGGAGCCATCATCAAGGCGGCCAGCACAATGGAGAGAAGCACACACAGAGAGCGATAGAGCAAACGCGAATAAAAAAAAAGACCAAAGAATTGTTCTTTTTACAACTCCACCCCGTTATCGACAAACTGGATCGACTCGAAAAACCCTCTCTCTCTCTCTTAAGAACTTCTTCTAAGGGATGGGCCTTTGCTAGGGTCGTTGACGTTGTTCTTCTAGCAACATTTTGGTTGGGATAAAAAAGGAAATAAGGAAAGGGGTGGTGAAGGATAATTTCCACCTTTCCATTCCAAAAAGTAAGAAAATTGCGGTCATTTTTTTTTCTTCCGATGGAAAAGAAAACTGACTGAAGGCATCAAATGTAAAATACAGAATGGTCTTATAAGGGCTTCAAGAAAAGGCTTTTATTACCTTCTGCAGTAAGGATCCTAACTAGAGGGGGGGGGGAAGATATCGCATGAGCAAATCTCATCTGCCCTTCATGTTCCCTTCATAATTTTTTTATAGCATAAATAGTGTCTTTGGCATTTTCAGTTCAGAATTCTTTAGCAAGCCTTTGTCGAATGTTAATGCGCTTTGTTAGGAAATCTCCCTTTAGCATGCAAAGATGCGACAATGGATCAAGATGCTAAGAAGACTTACAAACCAATTTTGCCAACAAGGCTTTGTTTGCCTGTTGCTACAACGTCCATAACCAGAACGAAAAGATATGACATATGACGGTAATAATATGAGAGATATGCCAGATAATACACCATTCATATTTCTGTTTTTGCAAGTTTTATGGTAGTGTTGTTCGGAACAGGAACTCTTTGTGCTTTCGTAAAGGTGTGATTTTGGAATGAACAATAATCTCTCTATATATTGCAGTGATTTGATAATGGCTATGAAATTCTAATATCCGGAACGTCAAGTTATATCAAAGCCTTTATGAGTCATTTATTTGCTATTGTATACCTCAAAAAGGTGTTGATGGAGTTACGAAGTAGTCAGATGAAGCAGAAAAAATAATATTGAATAACATAATTCTATCTAAATAATCCCGCATTTCAATTCAGGATTTTTAACCGGTATGAAACCAACAACGTATCTTTGAAATTGCAATGGGGAATCGTAACCCACTGTATTTATGAGTTTGCGCTCTGCCAGTAGTGTCCTCATTAAATAGAATAATCCACCAATAAGAAAGAGTAAAAATATAAGATTATACCAATAAGTTACCTCTCCATGACGTTAATTGTTACCTACTTCAAGTCCAATCGGAATTATTAACCTACATCACCGTACTAGACTGAAAAGAAAATATAATGAACTTATTTGAAATCAAGTGATCCAAATTATATTGCATTTTGAAAATTTGTACCAACAAGCAATTTTCCAAATTTAGACAGTTTGGCTGTTACACATTGTTGTAGTTTTGGATCAACATATGTTTTTGAACAAATGTTTTACATTTCGACCACAATAAAATCATAATATCGCTCAAAATAACCTGATATACAACTAAAACAATTTAATTTGTTAGCATCTTCAAAAAATATTTCTGATATAGATGACTCGGTCAAAAAACTACAGATTCAAAGCTACAATAAGCAAATACTGGCTGTTTAATTTTAAATTGGAATTATATGCTTAAAGCACCTCCTTTTTATTTTATGCCTAAAGAATTATATTAAAAATAAAGTAAAAAGCTTATATGATAGCAGTAAAACCTAAGTATTTATTATATTATTTTAAAATTTTTACAGTTAGACTTGCATAAAAAAATATGCCATTTGTTTGAAAATCCCATGAGCCAATAAGTAAAATTTATTCACCTTTTGTTATCTTTTTGTTTGTAGGCCAACCAACCACTCAAATCAAAAAGGTGTTGGCCACCTTTTATCAATAGAATCCTCAATCTCGTGTTGTTATAAAAATAACAATAATTGATATAATGAAGTTTAGAGCAGCGAAACTCAACCTGCGGCCCACCCTTTTTAAGTGGCCCAGTCATGATCTATTGCTTGGAGAAATTCACTTATTTAAGAACAAAGTATTAAAAATTTGGTGGGAAGTTCTTTGTCAAGAAATCAAATATATCAATTTTGCTTTTTGCTGTTGATGTTGTACGGGTGCGAATTAATATATTTTTTTCCATTTGTAATGTTTATGGTTAGTGATAACAGACAACAGTGGAGTAGGACAATTTTATGGATGGAGCCAACTTTTAACTATCTTTCATATCTTGCAAGCAAAAAATGTTCGAAGAAAATATGTCGTTTCAAAATTATTGGGAGATTGACTATTTTGTTGTAAAAAACAAACACGGATCAGTAATTGTATGATTTGTCACGAAAGTGCTGTATTTAAAAAATACCAATAAACAGGGATCACATTCAATGACACTTTTCCTCGAAGATCTCTTTGGTAATAAATAGGCTTTTTCTTTTTGAATAATCTTTGCAACAGCAACAAAGTGTTTTGTCAGTGGTAATGTCACAGTGGTAACAAAGACATCCTATGAAGTTTGTTATATTATTGGTAATCATACGAAACCATTTACTAATGCAGAAATTGTGAAGGAGTGTTTCTTAAATGTGTATGCTTCTAATTAATTGTTAGTGACAAAAATAAAAAATATAAAAAAATAATAATTAGAAAAAGTAAAACAGGAATTATAATATTTGGATCAATTTTTCACATTTTAAATTTCTCATATTATCTTGGTCTTAAAACATTTCTCCTCTCCTTTATACCCACGTTGTGGCTCGCGGGAAATAGCTAACATATGTATGCGGCCCATGTGAAATAACTGACATATGTATGCGGCCCGTGTGAAATAACTGACATATGTATGCGGCCAGCATAAAAAAGGTTGAGTACCCCTGCTTTAGAGCCTCAATTATTTTTTAGTTGGAAAGAGGATTCCGATTTTTAAAGGTAATTTCTTTTGGACAATTCTCTGTCTTAAGGCTGTTTTCGGTTAATGTTAAGGAGTAGAACCTGAATTTAAAACAGTTTTTCAGATATAAAAGAAATGGGAAATTAATAAGAAATTCTGGCTTCACTATCCTTTAAAGAGCAGTATTTTTTATCATACTTCCTGTTTTGAACCAAGTTATTCCTTTTTTCTGGTGTAAAATGTCTTTCGTGTTTTCTCTCCTACATCGTAATGTAATGGGCCTTCACGTATTAAAACGAGAATATATATATATATTCATGGAACATTTTGAAATTTTTAAAAGCACTATATTGTTAACAAAGGTATGAGCTAAGATATTGTAAATTTCCATGGGAATTGAGGCATTTTTCTGTCTGAAAATGTGCTTCGCGTTTAGTTCAAGCTCTCGTACTTTTGCCGAAGACAGCCTTAAAACATTCTTTCGAATCCGCTTGTTAACAGATGAAAGCACCGGTTCTCGTCTAATCACAGAAGTTAAGCCTCATCAAGAGCGGTCAGCACTTATGAGGGTGACCACCTGGGAACACTGTGATTCTATTGTATAGAAATAATCAAATTTGCGTAAAAATTGTGTGCTCATTGATATTGTTGCTGTATTTATCAACGGAGCAGCAGTTCATAGTACATTTAAACTACCAGTTCCAAAAGAGGGATGAACAAGTGACTATTTACCTCTTTCTTACTGGATTTGTACCCTAGCAAATGAAACATGCTTGGGAAAAGGTTAAAGTTATCGTCATTCATGAAATTTCGATGGTGTTTTATCTAATGTTGACAATGATAAATTCAAAATGTCATCCAATGTTGTAAGCTTTAAAAAAAACCACCTCAAACTTCAAAGCGAAAAAAATGTAGTTGTAAAGCAGATAATAAATTTTGAATTTACCTTTTATATTGTGGTTGCTTTAGAATTAACATGAATACAAAAATATTAAGAAATACAGTTTTTTTGTTGTTGTGTTCAAGAAGTCATACAATTAGTTTTTTTCGCATTTTTTAGTGCGAGTCAATCCTTTAGATTAAACGTTGTAAAGTATTTTATGTATTGTTTAAAAATAAGCAATATTTTGTATAAAATTCAAACAGCGGCACCTCAATAAAAACAAAGCCTAAATGTTCATTAAGAAAAAAAAAAATACTTTTTTAGGATACACACTATTTTTCAAAAATAAGAATGAACTCAATAAGGGAGGTTGTGTATAAATCTTTGAAGATAATAGGTGTTCAAAGACGGAATAAATCATATCCATATCCACCTTTCATGTCCATGATGTAAAACGAACCAAACCCAAAATAACGAAGAAATCATAGTAATTAACACTCGCCAGGGCAATAGAGGGTGAGTAAAAAGAATAAAATAAAATAAAAGATTCGACCCCATACACACACACTTTCATTACAGAGAACACGAAAAAGCGTAAAAGTGAAGAATCGAAATGAAACGAAAAACAAGTGTCAGCAAAACGAACATTCTAAGAGGCCGTGTCGTCGGGCGGTTACAGCAACAGTCCTGGAACAACCGCCCATCAAGTGGCAAGTGCCCAGAATTACAAGTTCTGCCAGAATTAATGAGTTCACAAAGCGCTACAACTCCATCACCACTGTTCGTGTCGGTCGGCACTTGATGTGCACTCCTTCAAATAGTCGTCAGTCATGAAACACCATTTCGTCAGCAGACGATTTTTTCCCCTCCCTGCCTCTATAGTAGCACCCCTCCTTTCTTTTTTATATTTCTTCTGCTCGGTAATTATAACAGAAGCCGAGGAAGAGTCCGGCAATGAAAGGGTGGCACGCGATCCTGCATGTCCGGGTCCGGCACAACGTGTTGACGGACCGATATAAATGGGAGCGCTTCGTGATTTTATTGGAACTTGAAGAGAACGAATGACATGCCGGCACGCTTAATTGAACGTTAGCAAGTGGCGAAATCAATTAGTGTCCCATTTCAATCAATGGACCCTCTGCAGTCCTAATAAATGATAGCGACCATGTGATTTGTAATCAGCTTTTCATTGATTTTGGAGCCGACGCTAACGAGGAACAGACTCGGTTCTGATGGGGACATGAAGTGCTGTCCAAATTAATCATTCCGGCCGCGATACTCTCGTCTATCTTCGCTTATGAATCTGGTTAATGGACGATCATTTGTTTTTATTATTGTGGGCGGAAGGGATGGGTTTTGTTCCTTGTCGCCAAATACATAAATCATCCGGTGTGAGATTTGTGGATTTTCTTAAACGCAAATTATGAGTTTCACTTAAGGTACCCGACTGCGTTCAGAACCGTGATTTTACAAAAGAGTATAAATGGATAATATTTATGATATTTAGAGTCACGTAGATTAGAAAATATATATATAATTGTTTTAAGAATAGTATTACAATAAAGTTTTTTATTAAAGTACAATATTTTGACAAAAAATGAACATAGAATGACCCATTTTCAAAACATTCTCCTTTTGTGAAAAATACTTCCATTGTAATAATATTTTGCCTGTATATAGCTCAAACCTCTGTACAGAGGCTCAACTAGAATTTTTGAAATATATAACTTAGAAGTGGGTTTATCCATGTTTTATGACAACAGAGGGAAGAAATTTTAAGAAAAAAAAAACGCCGATAATTATTTCAATGGTTTGTAACTCTGAAAATGTGAATTTTTCAAACATCATAGTTGAGCCTCATGTAAAGAGGGCTGATCTATATACAGGTAAAATATTATTATAATGGAAGCATTTTTTATAAAAGGAGAATGTATGGAGAATTGGTCATTCTATGTTCATTTTTTTGTCAAAATATTGTACTTAAATAATTGTTTTTATTGTAGTAATATTTTTAAAACAATTTTATACACGTTTTCTAATCCAAGTGACACTAAATATCATTATACTCTTTTGCAAAATCACGGTTCCGAATGTAGTCGGATACCTTAAGAGCGACGTGTTGCTTTTAGTTTTTGAATTTAATGTTTTATTATACACGCTACTCTTTTTCTTGATCGGTGTTTTTTTTACACGATTTAGTAATAACACGGTACACGAATTAAACGAATTTTTTTTCTACACGATTTTTTTGTTCTTGCACAAATTCCAAAAAAATCTGGGTACTTGTGCCCTTTGGATGAGGACAATATGACATTTACCGCTTATAAAGAAGTCGATACTGGCGAAATCAAAAATGAAGTTCAGTTTTTAATGGCTGATTTAATTCAAGAGGGTTTGAATTTTTCTACAAGTATGGAACAACATTTTATTGCTATGATTTTGACTTAGAACGAATATTTAAATTTCTACGTAATCTTGTGTAGCAGGATACCAAGAATTAAAAAATAAACTTGAGGAACCAAAAAGACAACCACTAATAAAATTTTGTAACAACAAAAACCAATAGAGGCCATAAAAAACGAACGGAATTCTTCGTTTGAATCAAGGCCGACAGTGCTGTTAGACATGTCTGACACGTCTGCTGATGATAGCAGTTTGGATTCAGTTCGCAATAAACATGCACGCGTATTATCAAGTAGGGATGAAAAGTTCTTTTTTAGTAATTTTATTCCAAATTTCAGTTTGAATTTTTATATATTGTATGTACTTTCACTGAATTTTCACTGTGCACCAATTTTAATTTTTTCTTTATAGCAAAAATAAATTGTTTTATAACTTTTTTGCAGGGTTTTTTTTATATATAAATATTAAGGGACTTTTTAAACACGATTTTTTAAAATTGTGTGTGTGGAACATATCCCCAAATTTACCATAGATAGCATATATTTTTTACACGGTTTTTTTTTCACGGTTTTCTAAAGAACGGTATCTACTGTGTGAGAAAAGAGTTGGACGTACTTGCTTTTAACCTGCATTCGTTTGATATTGCTTTTTGTCATGTTGGTTTCCTTGAATGTAAGATACTACAGTTTTGTGTTTCGATATATTTTTGAACTCATCGATGAAGCAATATATAGATAATATTTCCTCCTATAAATGTTTTTAAAATAACATTACCTCCTGAGCTTTTTAAATCATGTGATTAATATGTTAATGTGATTCAATTTCTGATTTATAAATTTCAACACAAGCTAGTCGTTACTTTCAGATATTTCTCATTCTAATTCAATCTAATATCAAGTCAAATCAATTGATTTAAATAGTTTTTGTAAAATGCATAAAGTAATTCGTCAGTCTTATAGTATTTCTCTCTGTCAAGAATCGCTTTTGAATTTCTGTAGTTCAATTAAAGCAAAATTTGTTGGGTTCTGTATAATGTAGCTAAACTCTCGAATTTAGAAAAAATATTTTACTTAATTTGAGAATGTTTTGATTTCGCATTCTGTGAAAAGATTGGATGTAACATTGTAAACCATATTCATTAAAACATTAGTTTTTACTTGTGCGTAAAAAGGGAATTCCTATTTGAAATATGTTTCATTATATTCGTTGAAAACAGTTTAAAAATATCTTTATGATAATGATAATGTTTATGTATATCTGTGTGTGTTTAAGACAACTGCGATACATACATATATATATATATATATATATATATATTCTACGCAAAATTTTGCAAGGAACATAAAGAATCTACATTATTGAAATGGATAGATTGATCAGAGGCGCTCTGAAATGCTTAAACAAACCTGGTTCGCACGTATATTATTCTCAATTATCTCTTTCATGTATACTTTTACATTACATAAAACGTATAAAAACGAAATATAGAACACATATTATACCAGAAAATTTAATCGGTTCCGATAAATAAGAGTAGTACAATGTAATATTCTTTCTATATGAAAATGAATTCAGAATATATTCATGGTAGAATATTTTTCTATTTGTAAAAATATCCCTAAATTAGGTCGTTAAGCTAAAACAGTCTTAAAATAACGTTAGTGGTTTCAATGGGGTTTTTTTTGTTAATAGTTTATATAATTGATTAAAGATTACTTAAATATGTATAAAGAAAAGAAGAGAAACCGGAGAACATAAAGAATCTAGAACGAATTCGTTGTCCCAACCCCCTGTACTTATTAAAAAGTTTAACCCAAAAAGATTTGCTTCTCAGAATCTATTACTTCCACGTCAGGCATAAATTGTGGGAATGCAATTGTAGAACAGCCGATGCTTTGTATTCATGAAACTTGGAGAGAGAAACCGCAACATATTTTTAAAAAGAACTTATAACTGATCCTTTTTTTCCACCCAAAATTGTCAACTATGATGTCTTGATTTCAATAACGCGTATGACTCATGACTGTTTCTTCAAGGCAAAATCAGTTAAAATCTAATCTGAATTTAATCGGTTTATGACGCAATGTACTCAAATGCCTGTTTTTTCTTTTATCTTAAACAGTATTGGTATTGAGAGTGTTAAAGGGGATGAGGAAATCTAGAGTTGAAGACCGAAGTTCTTAAATAACATGTTATTTGATCTACAAATTCAAACCCACTATCAGGTATTAGAATATACCATACACGCAGCTATAACAAACAAATCAAAACTAAAAGCACAGTCATTAATATATGCTTCCCGT